TGTTAAATGAGGTTACATGAAATGGCGCTTATGTGGTGCAAGCCCTTAATCCAGTGGCAACATTCTAATCTTGTTACTAGGGCATGGATAAATCTTAATAATGCACATGTACAACTATCCAATCGCAATGGTGTGATTAAAAACTCTGTAACTTTGTTATTTACGGTAATGAAATTCAGGTGTGCCTCTCTTTGGAAAATATATAATGCTAGCCCATTGATATATAATCCAGGCTGGAACTATCTGGAATTTCTAATTCAAACCTGATTTGTATTTACCTTTTCCTTTGTCATATTGAAATTTCAGGTTGTTGATGACTTTTATGGAACCTCCTCCATCGTTTTTATTATGAAAATTTTCACATAGATTACACATTGTAAATAGGACTGAATTAAGATTGACATAGCACCAAATTAGGGGGCGGCAACTTTCTCACTCTTTTAATAAAACAAATGCAGTCTAGGATTTCCGAAGGCACTATAATTAATCATAGCATAAACCTCACCTGCATATTTTTGTTGGCACCAAATGTGTAGGTGATGGAGAATCAGATGTGCCATCGGGCACAGAAAATGAAAATTCCAGTGATAAGAATGAATTGCCTGCGGATCAGAGGTTCACACGCACTTCATATTACACATAGTTGGAGACGATCTCTTTCTTTGTATTTATCTTAATAAAATACCAAAGCTGCTTCTCTTGTGTTATCAACTTTTCATGGGTCTTTTAGTGGTTTATCACTGATAATGTTTCCTTTAATGGGCAGTGATCAACCAGGGCACAAGAAGTAGAATGGGCAATCTCTCTCAAATGTGAGTTTATTGTTATGGTTTCACTTCACATAGTTATACCTACATCATATCTGTAATAACTAATAACAGCACACAGTACTGTAAGCCTATGAAACGTTGTAATTAGCTGTCAATTTTTCATTAGATTGTTACAGAGCGGGAGCTCTCTACACTAGGTATGCCCTTTTTTATTGTTACTTGAACAACATGCGTTTGTGCCTGTAGCGGCTACTAATTTTATAGTACCTGAGAACCCTTGTCAAACTATTCTTGAAATGTGGATATATTTGCATGTCTTGTCTGAAGAATCATCTAGTATCCTGACTTATCCACCAATCAAACTAGTGGGTGGATTTTTTTACAAGTTCTTTTGTTTCTTATTTAAAGCTTGCTCGACATGTATAAAACTTGATATAATATGGCCTGTTTGGTGTAGGATGGACGAGATAAATCTTCGAATGATATACCACCTTGCTCTACTCTCTTTATTGCAAATTTGGGACACACATGCACAGAGGACGAACTAAATGAAGTTTTATCCAAGTATGATGTGTGAACTCTTCTAATTTGCTTGTGAAGTGGACCCATAGTAATGAAACTGATCATTGTTGTTCTATATTTTCAGGGAACCTGGGTTTCATGTCCTTAAAATGCGTCGCCATGGTGGAATGCCTGTAGCTTTTGCTGATTTTACGGTATACCTACCTATACCTTTATTAATTTAGTTAGTGACTTGATCTACTGCTGTTCTGTGGTCTAAAAAATAAAAATGAAGGATGTATCCACATTTTTTCCTTGCATGTTACTCCCAGTTAGTGAAGTTTCTGAAGATCACTTAGTAAGTTTAAGCCAATGCGAAATGCTGGTTCTATTAGCATGAATAAACAAGCATCATATTTTTAAAAGGCTAGAAGGGATGCGTTTTTTTTTTCTTAGCGACGCCTCATTATTTCACCATTTTTTTTACCTTTTATTTTTACCGAGAGCCTGAGGCATGCGGTTGCAATATGCAGGATATTGAATCGTCTACAGCTGCTATGAACAGCCTCCAAGGCACTGTATTGGCTTCTTCTGATAGCGATGGGTTGCACATTGAGTATCCTCAAAATTACTTGCTTTTGTTACAATATTTCTGTTTGTTTGCTGTATATGTGTCAGTAGCTTAAGGTATCTTTTTTTCTCTATCAAAAGGATGTCAAATGCTATACCGTAAGTTTTTTATTGGAAAAGCCAGGAGTACCAAAGGCATCTCATAGTACAAGTTAATTTATCTCTTCTGGGTTCCGGAATCTCATAGTAATCCCTTTGTCAAGAAAAGAATGCAATTATAGCACAATATCATGTTAAAGTATCTTGAGTTTGGCTAACTATATATAAAAAATATCAATATTTATAATATCAAAATGAATATAATTAGATTTGTCATTAGATATATTTTAATGCTACACTTATTTGGTGTCATAAACATTAATATTTTTATCTATATATTTAGTCAAAATGAGTATAATTATATGTGCATTCTTTTGTGGACGGAGGTAGTACAAGTTAATTCTCTCATTTGGGTTTCGGATTACATTGGTTTTGGTATTGGTTTGCCATTTCCGTGGTGTTCACTTTTTGAGTTTTTAAGATCGTTTTGCATTTGCCATGAAATTGTAACCAAATGTTTTGGTCCTCGCTTCAAAGAGAAACGCAATTGTTTGATTTTGGGTACGTTAGGCTCAAAATGTCATGTCCGGTAGCTATGCTACGGAGGCAGCTAGAATTGCTGCCGCCATTCTCCATTGATGTGTCAGTCAAAAATTCTCCTGGCTTATCACAGTGCACTGTACAATTTATTTCATTGGGTTGACATGAGGCGTCGTTATATGTCCTTGTTTCCTTTAACTCTAGCAACAGGTACGCAAGGTCAAAGATGAGGAAAAGCTAAGCTGCTGGACCGTAACGATTGGCATGTCATCTCCTGTCTTCCTGAAGGTATCAGCAGTAGGCATACCTGCACATGTAACTGCATGCAGCTTGCTTGGTTGCTTTATTCATCCAGGCGTGAGAATCGAGAACGGTGCTAATTGTCCTGTATATACCATTGTAAAATGTTTACCTGTATCGGGACGTCCCTGTTTGGAAACTGCTATCATCAGGCGTGATGTCTACGGCACCATAAAATAGAATTTCATCCTGTTGGTTAGGACTTGTTCGTCTTATAAGCTATACTTTTTCAACTAATAAATGATATTTTTCTTTCACACCAAATCAGTCAATAGTACTTTTAGCTATGACTTATCAGCCAAACAAGTCCAAACGAACAGGGCGTCTCTGCCTATGACGAAGGGAAGTCAAAATGTTGCACTGTCAGAAGACGCTTGGTGATCAACTCCGGTTCCGCCCTGACTACGAGTATGTTTTCGTTTTCTGATCGCCCGGTATTGTCGAAAGGTTCAGAACCGCGCACGGTACATGGACGTGGCCGAAGGGTCCTTTTTCTGGCCTTTAGAGGTCAAGCACTAGTCAATGTCTGTCATTTGGGTTTCGGATTACATTGGTTTGTATTGTTTTGCCATTGCCGCAGTGTTCACCTTTTGAGTTTTGAAGATCGTTTTGCATTTGCCACGAATTGGCAACAAAATGTTTGGTCCTCAATTGTTTGATTTTGGGTACGTTAGGCTCAATATGGCTCCGTTCGGCTTACTTTATAATCCGTACTATTTAGCTTATTTTTTCAACTAGAACCATATTTTTTTTCTCACAATAATTCAGTCAGAACTATATTTTTTTAGCCAAGTTTCCGTAAGCATCATGTCCGGTAGCTGTGCAACTGAGGCTTTAGAATTGCTGTCGCCATTGATGTGTCAACGTTGTGAATTACTCCTGGCTTATCTGTACTGTACAATTTATTTCATCGACTTGACATGAGGCGTGCTAAGTCCTTGTTTCCTTTAACTCTAGCAACAGGTACGCAAGGTCCAAGATGAGGAAAAGCTAAGCTGTTGGATCGCAAGGATTGGCATGTGATGTCCTGTCTCCCTGAAGGCATCAAATCAGTAGGCGTCCGTGTGCATGTAACTGCGTGTAGCTGCTTGATTAGTTGCTTTATTTAGGAGGTGTTTGTTCTTTAGTGGTTTCAAAAATATATGTCACATCGAATATTTAGATATTAATGAGGAGCATTAAATATAGATTAATTACAAAACTAATTACATAGATGGAGGCTAATTTTCGAGACGAATTTTTTAAGCATAATTAATCTGTCATTAGCATATGTTTACTGTAGCACCACTTTGTCAAATCATGAACTAATTAGGCTTAAAAGATCCGTCTTGCAAATTAGTCAAAAGTTATGCAATTAGTTTCGTAATTAGTCTATATTTAATACTCCATATATGTCTAAATATTTGATGTTACGTGAATTTTATGAGTTTCCGTACCAAACAAACAGCCCCTTATTCAACGCTTGAGAATCGAGAACGGTGCTAACTGTCCTGTGTACCAATGTAAAATATTTACCTGCAGCAAGACGTTTCTCGGTCTTCGTTTAGTCGTGTTTGGCTTATAAGCCATATTTTTCAGCCACTAAATAATATTTTTCTCTCGCATTAAATCAGTCAACTTTTAGTCATAACTTATCAGCTAAACAAGCCTAAACAAACAGGGTGACTCTCTAGAAACTGTTAATGTGTTATGATCAGGCACGATCTCTACGGCACCTTAGATCGAATTTCACATGGATCCAAAGTGGGATCAGAATTCAGATCTCTGCCTTTGATCAAGAGAAGTCAAAAGCTTGCACGGTCTTGGCAGAAGGCAGTTGTTGACCAACTCTTGTTTCTGTTTCCTGATCGCCCGGTATTGTCAGGCTCAGAACAGTACACCGATGTGGTCGAAGGGTCCTTTTTTTCTGCCCTTCACTGGTCAGCACCCTGCGTACGGCGGTACAAGTGCGAAGTCTTCTCTGAAACGTGGCAGTGGTAGTACAATACACACCGTGCACGGATGGTATTCTCCATTCTCCGCCGCCTCCCGCCAAACTGCCAAGTGCGAAACGCTTCCTACGATCCCATGGACCCATCTCCTTCAAAGCCTCCGAGTGTCCAAGCGATTGCTCTCGGTCCCGACCATTTCTGCGCGTGCGCTGTCGTGCGTTCGTGTATCCACCGCCAGAAGCGCATTCCCCTTCCTCCGAGATCCCAGCCATCGTTCCTGCCCGACGGAATGCTGGCCGAGCGCGTTGACGTCGCGGTCTCCTCACGGACGCTGGTGCGGGCGTCCGATCCGCCGCGGGGCTTCCCCGCGGTACTCCAGCCCTCCAACCTCGACCTCATCCTCGGCTCCTTCCACATCTACCTCATCGCCGTGTACCCCGCCCCGGCCGCGGGCTTCCCCGCCGTGGCCGCGGCCGCACAGGCCACCTTGCCCGCATTCCTCTCCCGCTTCTTCCCCTTCGCCGGCCGCATCGTCGCCAACGCCGACACCGGCGTGCCCGAGATCGCCTGCGACAACGCCGGCGCGGAGCTCGTGGTGGCGCACGCTGGGGTGAGGCTCGCGGACGTCGACTTCGCCGACGCCGATCGCTCGCTGGGCCGCATCGCGGTGCCGTTCCAGCAGGGCCTGGCGCTGTCGCTGCAGCTGGTCCGGTTCGCGTGCGGCGGGTTCGCGATGTCGTGGGCCACCAACCACCTGCTCGTGGATGGCCACGGCCTGACGGCGCTGCCCAACGCGTGGGCGGAGCTGCTCCGCACGGGCGGCCTCTCGTGGGAGCCTCACCACGAGCGGGCCTCGCTCTTCCGGCCGCGGGACCCGCCGCGGTACAGCCCGACGCTGGACGCCGAGTTCACGCGGTACGCGCCGGGGAGCCTCCCAAACTGCCTCCTGACGGCCACCCTCGTGCGCCGCAACTACGTGGTGTCCGCCGCGGACGTGGACCGGCTCCGCGCCGCGGCCAGCACCCCCGCGCGCCGCGCCACGCGGCTCGAGGCGCTGTCCGCGCACGTGTGGAAGCTGCTCGCCGCGGCCGCAGGCGGGCTCGGCGACGAGCGCTGCCGCATGGCGTGGCTCGTCGACGGCAGGCGGCGCCTGGACGCCGCCAGGTACGACGCGGGCACCGTGCGGCGGTACCTCGGCAACGTGGTGACGTACGCGTCGAGGGAGGTGGACGTGGAGGCCGTGTCGTCGTCCCCGCTGGCCGACGTGGCGGCGATGGCGGGCGCCGCCATCGCGGAGGTGTTCCGGTCGGAGCGGTACGAGGAGCTGGTGGACTGGATGGAGGCGCACAAGCGGGTGTTCCGGGAGGGCGGCAAGTGGACGGAGGTGGTGGGCACGGGCACGGGGAGCCCTGCGCTGGTGGTCTCGTCGTTCGTGCCGTTCCACGTGGAGGGGGACTTCGGGTTCGGGCGGCCGCGGCTGGTGATACCGTGGATTCGCCCGGGGCGGCTGGGTTCCGCGGCCATGACGGTGGCCCGGAGCCCGCTGGAGGACGGGTCGTGGCTGATCACCGCCAGGCTGTGGCCGCGGCTTGCCGACGCCGTGGACGCGGACCCGGACGCCGTGCTCAAGCCGGCCACCGCCGCGCGGCTCGGGTTCGGCGCGCCTGATCCGGCCGACGTGATGATGCAGCATACTACTACCAGTCGCATGTGAGTCGTTCCCAGTCGGAGAGGCGGCGTTCGGTGTGCGCGAGCCGGTGGGCCTCAGCCCTCAGGGCGTGGGCGCGTGGGCGTGGCGTGGCACAGGCGGACAGAACAGCAGCCCCAGCCGCCTGTGGGCCCGCGTATGAGACGTGGCCATGTGGCGGCATGGCGCTGACGGGCTGCGTTTCGTGTGCGCGTCGTATCCTCTCGCATCGATCTGGTGCAATTTTGTCCATTTTTGTCGACACGATCCAAGAAGTATTTTGGACCTTTTCTTTTCGATCATCTTACATTGGTCTAGCTTTTGGTCGCAACTTTTTTTTTTACTTTTCTAACATTTTTACCAGTGACTAGCACATATTCTACGTTTGGATCCACTCTTTTACTGGTTCTTAGGTGTAGATTATCGATCGATCTCTTCTCTTTTGAGTCAATGTATTAATTATTCCAGTCCCATGCAAAAAGGTACTAGATGTTTTTTTATAGACCTACGTATCGGATACCGAACTTTTCGTTGGATATTGGCACGTCTATTTTTTTCACTCATTGTTTGCTATTTGTTCTGCTCATGGTCGTTTTTTTTTACTAATATAAAGATGGAATAAGGTATGTATATATTAATATATATTATATGTGCGATTAAGATAGCATGTACGACCCGAAGAGTGGGAGATATGCTATGTTTACTTGTTTATTATTACTTCCTCAATTTCAAATTAAAAGATAGTTTGATATACTTCCTCCATTTAAAATTATAAGATGTTTTAATTTTTTTAGGTATATAATTTTTACTATGCATTATATATACTATATATAAATATATAATAGTGAGTTGTGCAGCTAAATATTTGTTTATTCTTTCGATTCCACTCAGCCTGTGGATTTTAGGCCGCCGTTGAGGACGCCCTGTGTATTGAGCAGTGCAGTCCTCCTCTACATAAGCAGTGCAGTCCTATCGAATGAGCAAGGGCAGTTCCAATGGTGTATTGATGATGGTTTCTATCCTCGTTAAATGACTTGCCACGTAGCCAAAACGCTGACATGGCAATGTAATTAATGAAGAAAGAGAGCAAAAATCCTAGAAATGGTTTTCTCATGAAGAAATCAGGTCTTCTTTTGACCCAATGCACAAAGAAACCATGAAATCGTCATTGGAGAGAAACCACCAGTTTCTAAGGGGCTCGTGCCGCACTCCTATTGAAGGAAGAAGATAGAGTTGGGAGAGAGAAAAAGAAAAAAAATTATTACTCATAGAAATCATGGGTTAGAAAATAGTACTTTTTTTTTTGTACAGTATACTATATTATAGAAACTACTGGTTTCTTCGTCGGGACTGCTGAAACCTGCCACCCTACGCCATGGTGTCATTATTGCCGTGGATCGGAGTAAATGGCCGGGCCGGCCCGGTCCCTTCCGTGCAGCGCCCACCACCACTCAGCGCCGTGGTTAGTTAAATAAGGGCCAGCAACTAACGACCGTGGATGTTGAACCGAGATCCGATCCTTGTCAATCTCAATCTATCTCAACGACGATTCCGTCCCTCGAAGAAATTCCACGCCACGCGATCAACTCCACGAGCCCCCCGCCCCGGAACAAATCTAGGGTCAATCCGTCGTGTGCTCTTTTCAACACTTCCTAAAAGCTGCCAATGGGTTCTTTGAACAATGGTGAGCAGACACAAGATCCTCCAAAAGTCCAAACAAGGACAAGCTGCTCGCCAGTTCCCATGATGTGATGCTCACTGCGGACCTCATAAAAGTAAAACACACCACATTCTGCAGTCCAAATTAAAATAAATGCGTTCTAGAAACCACAGGAAGAAATGGACGGAAAATGGCGAAGGCGTCCACGCAAATGTTCGTCAAATCAAATTCGAGCTTGTTCGGCTGGCCACTGGCTGGTCAGTTTTTTTTTTTAACTGAAGCAGTATTTTTCTCTTACAATAAACCCGTTATTACAGTTTCTAGCCTCTAGCCTCCCAACTACACAGCCTCCTTCTGCCTCCTTGGGTCTGGGCCCGTTCGTTTCTTAATGGCGAAGAGGTCAGAAGGGGCAATCGGTTCCGGTGATCTCGCACGGAATCCCGCATGCCTAGGCGCCGTCCCAACTCCCAAACGACTGAACGAGTCCACGGCGCGCACGCCAAGGCCTGGCTAGGGTTCGCTAGCTAGTATAAATATCCAGGGTCGCCACCCCTTTGGCGCCCGACGTTTCCGATCTCGTCTCTCCTCGCGAGTTGTGACATCTTCTTCGCGTTCATTCAAGGTATGCGAGTTGTCGATCGATCTCTAATCTCTTCGTGTTTGATTTCTAGGACTATTTCCAATGAGGTTGTGAATCGTGATATGATAGTTGATGATTCTTTTTCGCAGATTGTTCTACTTTCAATCGGTTGGCATTGCCGATGATACTTTTCGTAGACCGTTATAGTTTCCATCCGTTGGCATTGCCAAATAATATTTGGTTCTTTGAATTCGATTCAACAGATGCAGATCTTCGTTAAGACCCTCACCGGCAAGAGCATCACTCTGGAGGTTGAGAGCTCGGACACCATCGATAATGTCAAGGCTAAGATCCAGGACAAAGAGGGCATCCCTCCGGACCAGCAGCGCCTCATCTTCGCCGGCAAGCAGCTGGAGGATGGCCGCACCTTGGTCGACTACAACATCCAGAAGGAGTCCACCCTCCATCTTGTCCTCCGCCTCCGTGGTGGTCAGTGATCTGATCTGATCTGATCGCGATGGGAACTGGTTGAGTGTCCTGCCGTCTGCCAGTCTTCGTCTTAGGTCGTTTCTTCGTTACGAGAGGCCTCAGTCTTATCTTAGGTCTTAGGTTGTTTCTTCGTTCTGTGTGAGGCCTGCCAGACTTTATCTTAGGTCGTTTCTTCTTCAGAATGTGGGGTCGTGGCTGTGTTTCTGAGCACGTTATGCAGTACTTATTTTGCGGAAACAATTTGGAGTAATAAGCTAAGTCTAGTTTGCCATATTTTTCTTCTGTATATTTTCTGATCCATGTTACCTTTTTGCTGATTGTCATTGCGTTTTTCATTTCCGCGAGCGTCCTACCATTGAACGTACAGTTGCATACACCTTTCTTTCCAAAGCAGCAGCCACTAAACAATATAAGACTAGCGAGTTGTGGCTTGTTTAGGCTCCTGCAATTGAACCTTTCTTTCCAAAGCAGTTCCAAAGCAGCAGCCCCTAGAACAAAGACACCAGCGAGTCGTGCCTTGTTTTGTTGTTTAGGCACACCAGCGAGTCGGCTTGTTTTGTTGTTAGGCACCTGCAACATCAGCGAGCCGTGTCAGCTTTTAATACTCCATCGTTCTAAATTATAAGTCGCTTTGACTTTTTTTTTCATCTATTTTGCTATATATCTAGACATATTATTTATCTAGATTCATAGCAAAATGGATATACCAAAAAGTCAAAACGACTTATAATTTGGAACGGAGGAAGTATAAAGCTGAATCCATTGCTAATCCAAATGAATTCCATTAGTTCTTAGATTAATTTTTCATTTTTTAGTAAAGAGCGATAACGGAGACAACGATCATGGAGCCAATTCCAAACGTTGCCATTTCAGGGCACCAACCAAACATATTTTCATTTCCACTTTCATTGATATTCATTTAGGGAAGTATAAGTTTCCTCAAGTACACTTATTCAGAGCACAAATATTCCATGTTGCCATTTCAGGGCACCAACCAAACATATTTTCATTTCCACTTTCATTGATATTCATTGAGGGAAGTATAAGTTTCCAAAGCAATTCATGTGCGCAAGTACACTTATTCAGAGCACAAATAGAAGAGAGAACAAAAAAAAATACTTGTATTCAGATCACATAGAAGAGAGAACAACATTCAGGCAAGTATAAGTTTCCAAAGGAATTCATCTGCGCAAGTACACTTGTATTCGGAGCACAAGTAGAAGAGAAAACAACAACAACAAAAAAAAACGGTTATGCTAGTGCCTAGACGTCCGAATGGACCTGCGTTCGGACGCTTGTGCATGCGCCCCCTATGCCTCCTCTTGCTTTTTTTGAAATACGTGCCTTCTCCTGTTGTTGCGCCCCACACCTTCTCTAGCTGCTACGCCCCACACCTTCTCCTGCCCTCCTAGTTGCATCGAGAGAGAGGAACACAACGCATGCCCAATACGAGAGAGACCCTAGCTGCATGAGAGAGAGAGGGATCACTGCTCACTAACCCAATGCAAGAGAGAGAGAGCACAACGCGCGTGCCCCAATGCGAGAGAGAGGGAGGGCATGCACATGCACATGTGTTGAGCCGACCACATGCTCCACCATGGGGACCACGCCTGGTGGTGCAGGGGCGCCTGGTGCAGCGCGTGCTTGCCCACGTGTCAGAGCACGTGGGGAGCAGCACCTGTTGCAACATACTGAAACAAAGATGAAACAATTAAAACATACGTTTACAACATATGTTTATAATCCTGCAACATATGCAACATTCACCTAAAACACTTACAACACACGTCTCAAACGGGTAAAATATTTGGAACATACACTTGCAACATACATGTATAGCCACTGCAACATATGCAACATCTAGATGAAAAACAGCTGAAACATTTGGAAATCATACTTGCAGCATATATGTGTATAATCATTGTAACGTATGTTACATCCCGATCTACTTTTGCAACATCCACATTAAACACTTGCAATATCCAGATAAAACATCCGAAACACTTGAAACATACTCTTTAACAAGCGTTTTCTGCGCGCAATGTCACCTTGCTGCTTGCACCAATTGTGGAGCTCGACGCCACCGCGGCGCATGGAGCTCGCCGATGCGCCCTTGGGCAAGGACCTGCTCGGTGGCCTGGGTGAACACCTACGCGTTGCGCGCGAGCACCCCTCGGCGCCCTGGGCCAGCGCACCCTACGTGCGGCGGAGGACGGGCATGGTGCGGTTGGAGATGGGGGCGCCGCGGGGGATGGCGGTGACGGCACGCCAAAGTGGCCTGGCAGGGGCGGAGGCAATCACGCGCCGCGCCGGGCTGGGCCAGCAGTCGAGCGCTGGAGGCGGTAGGCGAGCGGACATGAGCAAGTGAGCGGATAAGAACGATTACGTGAGTGGATAGGAACAGATACATGGAGAAACGGATTTTTTTTTCATTTAGAAATGGAGGAGCGGGGAGTCTTGGGCTAGCGTCGCGCGGCCCACGAACGAAGCATCTCCCAGCATTATCGAAAAAAAAAACTCAAACAAAAATTCTGGAAGGAACGCCCTCGTGGCAGACTGGCACTTGTGCGAGTGTTCCATGGCCGAACGACATCAGCAGTGGGCAGTGGCCGTGGTGCAGCGGGTCGTGTTGAGGATGGAAACTCAACTCTTGATCATGGCCAGGAATCGTCAACTATCGTCTCTTGTGGATTCTTCCTCACTCTTGGTCATGGACCTGTAATTCTGTGATTCTGTCATCCCTCTTGACGAAACACGTGCACGTGCGTTGGGCGACGTCGCAACTCGCCAGCACCACTTTCGCTGCCGGCTTCACAGCAAAGGGTCGGATTCCATCGCGGTGCGCGGCAAGGGGATTCGATTTTGTGGGGGGCACGCAGGCGGCAGCGCGCCAGCGGGTGCCCTTGGCAACCCCGCGTCGGCTTGGGCAACGTCAACGTACGTGGGCAGGTGGGCGAGCGGGGGCGGTTCGACTTGGACCCCAGAGCCGAACCGCGCCTTTTGCAGCTGTGTATCCCCCCGTCCCGGCCAGACTCGGGCCGCGCGCGCAGCCTGCCGGCTTTCCTCTCCCGCTTCTTCACCCTTCGCGTCGACGCGTCGTGGGCGGCCAGCGCCGTCACAGCCGCGTCGTCGAGATCGCCTGCGACGACAACGCCGGCGCGGGGCTCGTGGTGGCGGACGCTGGGGCTGAGGACGGCCGCCGGCGGTCGTCGACCTTGCCTACGCCGACCTTTCGTTTGTCCGCGTCGCGCTGTTGCTGCATAGCCTGCAAAGGCTTCGCGCTATTGCGTTGAGGAAGGAGCTGCGAAGGGCGTAGCTGCGTAGGCTGATGGCGCGGCTGCTGCTGCTCCTTGTCGTGGTCGCGCTCTTGGCGTCCATGTCTGCCGGCGGGGCGGCCACCATCACCGTAGACGTGAAGGACTACGGGGACAAGGGCAACAGCATAGACGACGACACCAAGGTTGGATTGGACTTGGAGTAGCTTTCTTCGTCTCCGATCCATGTTCCATGCATCCATCCTCGACCTGCTGACTCTGATCTCTGAACAATGTCATTTTCATGCAATGCTGCAGCCTCTGATGACGGCGTGCGGGTCCGCCGGCGCGGTGACGATGCTGCTGTCGCCGGGGACGTACTACATCGGCCCCGTGCAGTTCCACGGCCCCTGCAACGCCTCCACCTTGACCTTCCAGCTGCAGGCAAGTCATCCTAAGTTGCATTGCATGCATTGCACTCCGATCCATCGACCGTCTGTCATGCATGCATGCGGTTAGCTCTTACATGCAAGTGCGGTGCAGGGCGCTCAAGGTCGTCAACAGCCGGTTCCGCAACACGGCGGTGCGCGACGTCGCCGTCGGCGTGAACCCCCTGTTCTTCCACATCGCGCTGCTGCAGGCGAAGAACGTCCGGATGAGCGGGCTCTTCAGCTTGCGCTCGCCATGGGCCTCAAGCCCGACGGCCCCAACACGGACGGCATCCACATCGAGCGCAGCGCCGGGGTGTGAACCATCACGGACGCGCGCATCGCAGGCGAAGGCGACGACTGCATCTCCATCAGCCAGCCCGAAACACGACGGCGTGGACGTGGCGCGCGTCCGGTGCGGCCCGGCCAGGGAAACGGGGCATGGCGCGCGTCGTGCGGCCGGCACGGCATGAGCGTCGGCCCTCGGTACGCCGGCGAGGGCGACGTCACGCGGGTGCACGTCACAACGGCGTCCGCATCAAGACGTGGGAGAACTCCCCCATCAAGAGCAGCGCCGCGCGCATGTTCTTCGAGAACTTGCTCATGGAGGACGTCCGGAACCCCATCATCATCGACCAGAAGTACTGCCCCTACTACAACTGCGAGCACAAGGTACCTGCATGCTCTATACGTGTACGACGTCGTGGCGCGCCATGTCGCCGCCATTGGTGACTACATCTCATGTGCTTGTGAAAAAATGTTGCTCGCGCGCATTGCATGCAGTACGTGTCCGGGGTGACGCTCCAGGACATCCAGTTCAAGAACATCAAGGGCACGACGACGACGCCGGTGGCGGTGATGCTCCGGTGCGGCGTGCCGTGCCAGGGCTTGGTGCTGCAGGACGTGGACCTCAAGTACATGGGGCAGGGCGGCACGTCGGCCAAGTGCGAGAACGCCACGGCCAAGTACGTCGGCTACCAGTTCCCCAAGCCCTGCACCTAGCTGGCCGCCGACGATTTTTTTCGCGCGTGGCCTGCTGGGCGCGAGCGATGTGCGCGCGGGACGGTGAGCGCGTGCGTGCGTGCGATATGATTTTCTGTTGCGATATGTTAATGCGTTCTCCAACCTGGTGTACCTAAGGACTAAGGTAGCTTAGCTCCGATGCGTTGTGAAGTGAGCTTTGATTCTTTGACCGTGTTTATCTAGATGTCTGTCATTTCCAGTTTGTTGTTTCTTTTTGCTGTTTCTTGATAACCGATAATGCTGGCTTGTTTCTGCCCAACAATCAGGGCCCAACATGCCTCTCTACTCCACCTTCAGTACCACACAGTTTTCCCTAAAAATTAAAAACACACCGATATTTTCTTTCCCCACTGCCGCATGCATGCAACCGCTGCGGGCGCATCCACCGCGCCGCCCGTCCGCCACTGGCCTTCTCCAACGCGGCGGCCTTCTCCAGTCGTGGCCTTCCCGTCCGGACGCCACGCACCCATCCTATGTCGCTCGCTTCCGCCCGTTGCGCGCGCTGCCCGCCCGCCCGAGCATGCTCGGTGTTGCTAGCGATGGGTGGTGCTCATGCGCGGCGCTGGCTCCGATACCGATGGTTGGAATCGCCCGGCCCTGGGCTCCCCATGTTGCAAGCGCATGTTTCAATTGTTTCAGATATATTCGTAGGTATGTTTCAAGTGTTTCATGTGGATGTTGTAAAAGTAGATCGGAATGTTGCATATGATTGTACACGTATGTTGCAAGTGCATGTTCCCAATTTTTCATCTGTTTTTTCAGACGTATGTTGCAAGTGTGTTTATCTAGATGTTTGCATATATTTCACATATATGTTGCAAGTGTTTTATCTGGATGTTGCATATGTCTTTAATTGTTTTTCAAGTGTTTTTCATGTGTTTCAAACGCATGTTTAGAATGTTTCAACTGTTTCGTATGTAAGTTGCAATTGTTTCATCTGGATGTTTCAAAAGTAGATCGGGAATGTTGTGCATGTTGCAATGTGAGCCACTTGCTGCAGCTGCTAGGGCGCCGTGCATGGAGGGGAGCGCGGCCAGCGGGCGTGGAGGGGCGCGGGAAGAAGGGAAGCGTGGGGGAGTGGCACAGGCAGGCCCCGCCTATGCGTGCAGCAGGCGTTTGCGCGGGCGCTCGGACGCGCGGGGTCCGTCCAGACGTCCGGGCTAGTTCTGCCCTCTTGATAATGATTACCAGATTTTTTTGTGGTAACGAATTGGTGATCTATGGAGACAAAATGGGGAAATGGCATGGCAAGAAAGGTGATTTAAGAGCATTGCGTTATACCTAAACTTTGTCCTGCTCTATAGACTCTCAAAGAATTACGGCTACATCTGTAATTTTGCTTAGGGGCTAACGACAAAAACTGACAATAAGCGATCTTGTTAACTACCAAAATCTAAATACTATGCTGATTATATTGCTGACTAGACTACATGGCGTATCGACAGAAAAACAATCTATCGGTTATAAGGGATTAGAAGTGCCACGTTCCTTCATGGATTGATGTTGCATTCGCGCAAGTTTGTTCATAATCCAGGTGCTTAGACCTGTGTCGAACTCAAATAAGAAGTGCTGAACTTACATAGGACCGCAACTAGCATCTAACACTGTCTAATTGGAAACAGAAATTGCTAGTATATAATCCAAGAACAAGACATAAGGGCACGTGCAACGCGTCTCTTCGACCCGTCTCCGTGATGTATTTTTTGCAAAACGAAGGCCTCGTCGTCTCACGAGACGACGGGAACGGCTCGTGGCCCGAGGCCGAGACGCCGGCTCCAGCAGCGTTGTACGAAGACTCGATGGCGCGCGGATCCCGTGTGCCTTCGCGCCGGTGTCCTCACCTTCCACAGCCTGCCAACGAGCGCCCGGTCTCTTTTGCGCGCGAGAGCTCGGTGGCCTCCCGCCTGCCCGTGCGACATCGGTTGCTGTCCCCTCCAGACCCACCCTAGCGCTTCTATGAGCCACCCGCTTGCGATTTTATCTGCCACCGGCCGCCTGGTGGCCCTCCCCCAGCCTCCTGCCGCTCGCCTCAGAGCCGTAGATGCGTGCGCGCCGCCGTCTGAGCTTGGACCGACAGAGGCAGCACCTTGTAAAAATTCTAATTTCTTTGGCTTCATTTTGTGTAGTCAACATAGCTGTGAATCCATTATCTATCAAATAACAACACAATGGTATACAAAATAATATTCATGAATGATCTTGGCTACATGCAAAGGATTAAACAGTTTCCAGACGACCCCTTGTCTGTGGGTTGTACGATCTGTCTTTCTAACTGTCTGTACATCAGATCCGAAGCTCTTACAGACGACTTCCCGTCTGTGGGTTGTACATGCCCTAATGAAGCAGCAAAAAGTACTCGTTAGCTATAGTCTCAGGGGGAGGCAATGAAGATCCGTAGTAAGGGGTTTACTACATTACTTTATTAGTACTAGTAGCTCCAAATTTGCCTCCTGACCATCCAGGCACATTACTATCCTAGTACCAGCAGCTACACTAAATACATAACCAAACTTTAGGTCTTTGGCGTCCTGACGAAATACCCTTCCTTGAAACAGCTATGAAGTGTGCTCTTCTTCACACCCAACGCATTGGCAAGTTTCTGAAAGGTTTTGCGCTCACTCAGAGGCACAGCTTTGATGGCTTCAAAATCTATTTCTATTCTCTTGCGACCACAATTCTTATGCATCTTGTTTTTAACACCATCTATACGACCATAATCCTGACCCTTGCGCCACACAGACTGCACTACTCTCAGAGGCACACCAAATTTTTGGGCGACCTGACTTGAAACTCCACGACGCAGCACTGGTGGATCTGTCTTCGCCAACAACTCCAGGTAGATAGCGATCTTTAAATCGTCTGAGTAGTACCTCCTCCTCTTCTTAGCATTCGATCCTTCAAGTATAGGAAACCACAAAATTAGAACTCCTGAAAGCACTGTTTCAATACGACAAGATATCAGTAGCTATTAGAAAATACACATCACTGAATCCTGAAAGTACTATTTCAGCCCGACAAGATATCAGTAGCTATAGCTCCATAAAGCATAAATCAGTAACTATCTGAAGTTACTCCATGGCGACAAATCGAAGTAACTGAAAGCTGAACATCTCCAGGAGTACACTAAATCATGATAGTACTGTTTCTGGTTCGACAAATTGAAACACAGAGAACTAACCTTCCTCTCCAGCAGATCCTCCATCTCCATGTTCCAAAGCCCCAATCACTACATGATTACTTGCATCTTGTAATCAAACAATGAACATCTAATCAGGAATCCGATTGGTCAAAACATAATGTGCCAAAAACAGTTGTGTGTTCAATTTACCATGCCCTCCGACCGGATCAGTATATGCTCCTGAAGGAGCATCACAAGAATCATCATCTCCCTGGTTGTGCACTGCTAGTCCATCTCCATCTAGGACACGAAAGGGGGGGGGGGTGGGTGGGGGGGGGGGGGGCGGGTTGAACACCAAGGAGGAAAACAAGTCAGTGGCACGAATCGACTAAAACCAGACATTTCGTTCAAAACCCCCAAAACCAGACACGCATTCGGAATAGGTAGAATAAATCAAACGGAGCAGCAGCTACCTGGTTCTCCATCATCCCGCACCGTGTCGCAGTCGAGTTCATGTGCCGTTGCAGCCCGGTCGCCAGTGGCATCTCCAGAATCGATGCCATCGTTGAGGTCCCAGTCGGCTGGCACACGGTTTAGGTCGAATTCTCTTGGCGCCATTGGTCGGAGAACAGTGCTTGCAGTGAATGAATAGATGATGGAAGAACTGTGTGCAGGTAGGAGAGGATCTGAGGACATATATAGAAATGGCTGTGGCCCTTGGCATTGGGCCATGCAGGAGGTTTGAATGCGCGAGCATGGAAATCGCAGCGGGCAAATTTGAATAAATTGATCGTGCTGGAGAATTTTGGAAGCGGCGCGAGGGTTTTGGGGCGAACTTGGCACGGCGCGTCATGCGGGAGAAATTGGCGAGGCGCGAGGCGCGAGCCGCGAGGCGATGCGCGTGCGCCGCCATGGCCGGGGAAACGAAGCGATCAGTGCGGCCGGCCGCGGAGTAAAATGGTTTTGACGGTCGATGCGGACTAAACGCAGGAGTATAAATTACGAGTAAAATTTAGTGGCAGTTCTTGAACTTACACGATGGTGTGGGTCTCTAACTCTCAAATTTTGATTTATTGGTATCTAAACTTATATTACAGTGTTATTTAGGTTCTCAACTCTCAAATTTTGGTATTTAAGTCCTAAAGCTTGTACGGTGATACCATCTCGACCCCCAAACTTGACACCGTATTGATAGTGCGCCAGTCTCAGTGAGAGTTTCATTTATATTAAATAATCTGTCACATATGTATTTTTTATGACATTGCAATATTTTAATGAAGAGATAAAATAAATGAGTTCTATGGGGATGAAACTCTCTTGACACAATTATCAACTCTCTGTGAGTCTTAGAATTAAATATCTATATATGAAACTTTGCATTGAGAGCGGGTATTTCATCCAAGTTTCATTTCATTTTATATGACATGGCAGTTTTAAAAATAACTCAATGAAACTCTTCACTAAGACTGGCCAAGCATGCTAATTATGGCCCCATTTGGAGAGTTTCGCTCACTAATTCTTTAGCTCTGCTCCTTGATTATCCGCTGGAGTGATTCTATTGAATTCCTAGAAGGGAGCAAGGTGGGGAATCGATGAGAATTAATTATCTGCTGATCCCCACTAGAATATAACAAGGAGTAGGGTGAAGGTTTTTTTAAGCTCCCAACTCCTAACGTAAATGGAGAAGTGATTATCTCCTAATATCCACATGAATCAGTTGGCATTTTGAGAATTTAGCTAGTTGGGAGTGATTTTCTTTGTTTTCTTTGGAAAAAAAATGAGGCTAGAGCTCTTCCAAACGACCCCCTATATATTGCCACGCCGCTATATAAGTTTTGGGACTAAAAATCAAAATTAAAGA